GTGCGCACGAAGACTCTGCGGGCCGTTTAGGACCTTTCGCGGAACTGCAAACCGAAGGCTTCTTGGAGAGCTGAGGACTGCAAACCTGTCCGGGCTTTACATCTTGAATTTTCTTCAAGATCTGGAGATCTCGCAACTCAAGGGTCTTGGCCTCTCGATGAATGCATAACAGCTGGCCTTGTGCCATCATCTGTACCAAATGCAACTCGGAGGCTTCCTGAAGCAAGTCTAACGCTGCCGGGGTCAGTTTCAGGTCGCAAGGTTCCGGCTGCAACTTCGCCGACCCCTCGCGCGCCAGCTCCTCCAAACGATAATCGTGCATTCGGTACGTAGTTTTGGGCCTTGGTATCTTGAAAGCTTCCTAAATCTGCGCAAGCTACGTGGATAGAGGCAATTAGCGGCATCATGTCATCAACTTCATTCCGCTGTCCTTGTTCTCACGCCTGCTTGCACCAGGGATGCGTGGTCGGTGCCGCTCCTGAGGCAGTGCGCTGTGGAGCGGGAGCTTCTGGCGATTTCAAGTCTTCAGGTTAGTCAGGGTATAAAACAAACACGTTTGTATGTATTTCGGCGTCCTGCCAAACCTGCTGCAAGACATCCTTGACAACGCGCTGGAAAGGTGCACGGTAGATCATGAGGTGCAAAGGAAGCTTCTGCATCGCCTCTATCTGCATTTCTGCGGACTTGTTCTGCGAGTCCCACTTGCCCTTGGCGGGCTTGCGTGTGACCACCTCGTTCTTTCGGGGTCTGCCCCTTCCACGAGGCTTCTGAGGCTCGTCCTCGTCAAGGGCCTCCTTCTCCTCCTCGACCTGCGGCTGCACCAGGAACGTCGCGAACATGATGGCCAGCGGCACAGTGTACATCTGGTCCCGGAGCGCGTACGGCATCAAATGCAGCGGAAGCATGACCATTGTCTTCGTGCTATGAGTCCCACCGCTATCTACGTACAAAACGGCTTTGAGTCTGCAAAGACCGGTATGCCGTCCATGTTAGGCTTCCTGTCGCAAGGTCACAGAATCAGCAGCTGTCCTCCTTCTCTAAGTCTCGAAGGCACGTGAAAGTCTGGCTCTTTACAAAACAGTCCAGTCTCTTCAGCTCTTCTCGCAATCATGATTGAATTTAGAGTGTTTGACAACGCACCCTCCATTACCCAGCTCCAGCCTGCATATGCCGCGTGCTAAGCGGCATGTACCTTGCCTTTGGGACCAACCTCAGGATCGTGGAAACTTTCAGCCCCAAGCTTTGATGATGATTATGATGACGATGATGATGATGACAGACAATGTTTGACGGCTTTTCGCTTCGCAGGTCTTGGATTAGGGAGTGCCTTGTAGGCCAAAGCCTGACAAAAGACAGCACCTAGGTCTGCCAGGGGCGGAACTTCGAATCCCGGACATCGAACTGGATCTTACAATGCCAAAGTCCGCTAAAGGAATCATGTGAGGTTCCTGTGTGCCAGGCCTTCTTTTAACTCAGTCCCAGCATGACAAAAGCCCAGCAACTCATGCGTCGACCGACCACGCAAGCAAGCGAGCGTTTCAAAAGACCTGCAAGCTTCTGAAATCACCACATAAGGACTCTCGACTGTTGCCCCCTACTGCCCAGAACTCCCAAATCCTGGAACCCGACTTCGATTTGCTGCGCAAGGAATCGCCAACAAATCGCTGCAAATCGCAGCGATTCCTTGAAGTACAAGGACAATGCCCAAAAAGCCCTGACATTTACGTGTATCAGGAAAACCTACTTGGAGGTTCATGGGTAGTTATAAGTGTGGTTATAAGTCCCCAATATGAGTTATAAGTATAGCTATCCTTATCATAACCCTACTTATAACTCCCCATGAACCTCCAAGAACCCTATGAATCCTAATCCGAAGCATCACCTCAATGATTTTTGCCAGTTCTGCAAAAATCATTCTAAGTTTCGTAGCACCCAGCCAGTACTGCCAAGGCCTGGAAACTCAGAAGTTGGGTCCCCGGCATGCTTTGGCACAACAGTGTCACGATGGACCGGTGGGAAGACGACCTCGGCAATTAATTGGACAGCTAGGTGAGCATCGGACCGTTCAGCGAGCACATGCACATGAAGAGTTCTCCAGTTCTGCCGACTAGTTCATCCCTCCCGACTGCAGCCGAAGTTGCCAGAAGTCAAGGCCGACCAGACGGTTGAAATCAACACAACGGACTCTCGACTGCTGCCCAGAACTCCCAACCTGAAGAACAAATCCCGGAATGATTTTTCCAAGCACAGAAAAATCATTAAGAATCACGGCCTCTTTTGTTTTCAAGCACGGACCCCTTTCCGTACATGGCTGAAGCAAACTTCTATCTGCCATCTACTGACGCTTGCACTTGGCCTTGCCATTCCTGGCACAAGCATCATCATCATGATCATTCTTGTCATCCCCTCCGTTGCTCTCCGAGGACACACTTGGAGCACGGCTCAGACGGCGACGAGCAGGAAGTGGAGGGCTGGGGGGTTGATCGCTCCACTCCTGGGCTTTGTAAAGGCAATGCACCCATGCAGCCTCCACACCAAGGATTGTCATTGAATAGCTGCTGCTGCGTCCATTGTAGGCCTTGACGAGAAAAACCTTCTTGTCCAACTGCACCGTGATGGGCACGTGGTGCGGGATTTGCAAGACATAGGAGTCCTTGCCACGTGGTCTGACTGCTGGCAATGCGGGACATGGCAAAGATTCCAGAAGATGATAATGCAGAAGGCGCAGGTTGCCGTAGCGAGGTAGCCTTTGCAAAAGGGTTCAAAACAGACCACTCAAAGACTCACAAGAAACTGGAGAGAAGCTTGACAAATGTTAGTGGAAGTGCTTCTTACGTGTCTCACACACGCCAGCAGCTCTGCTCGAAGCGGAAGGCATGGCTAGCCGACGCGAAGGAATTGCCAGCTTCCCTCGTGCCTAAACCCAGCGCTAAGAAACACGCGGAGAATGGATATTGAACAAGGGAACACGGCATGCACTGACGATCCCTCTGCCACAGCATAAGGCATCCCAAATCCTGGAACCTGACGTCGATTTACTGCGCAAGGAATCGCCAACAAATCGCTGCAAATCGCAGCGATTCCTTCAAGTACAAGGACCATGCCCAAAAAGCCCTGACATTTACGTGTATCAGGAAAACCTACTTGGAGGTTCATGGGTAGTTATAAGTATGGTTATAAGTCCCCAATATGAGTTATAAGTATAGCTATCCTCATTATAACCCTACTTATAACTCCCCATGAACCTCCAAGTACCCTATGAATCCTAATCCGAAGCATCACCTCAATGATTTTTGCCAGTTCTGCAAAAATCATTCTAAGTTTCGTAGCACCCAGCCAGTACTGCCAAGGCCTGGAAACTCAGAAGTTGGGTCCCCGGCATGCTTTGGCACAACAGTGTCACGATGGACCGGTGGGAAGACGACCTCGGCAATTAATTGGACAGCTAGGTGAGCATCGGACCGTTCAGCGAGCATATGCACATGAAGAGTTCTCCAGTTCTGCCGACTGGTTCATCCCTCCCGACTGCACCCGAATCGCCGAAGTTGCCAGAAGTCAAGGCCGACCAGACGGTTGAAATCAACACAACGGACTCTCGACTGCTGCCCAGAACTCCCAACCTGAAGAACAAATCCCGGAATGATTTTTCCAAGCACGGAAAAATCATTAAGAATCACGGCCTCTTTTGTTGCCGACGCGAAGGAATGCCAGCTTCCCTCGTGCCCAAACCCAGCGCTAAGAAACACGCGGAGAATGGATATTGAACAAGGGAACACGGCGTGCACTGACGATCCCTCTGCCGCAGCATAAGGCATCCCAAATCCTGGAACCTGACTTCGACTTACTGCGCAAGGAATCGCCAACAAATCGCTGCAAATCGCAGCGATTCCTTCAAGTACAAGGACCATGCCCAAAAAGCTTTGACATTTACGTGTATCAGGAAAACCTACTTGGAGGTTCATGGGTAGTTATAAGTGTGGTTATAAGTCCCCAATATGAGTTATAAGTATAGCTATCCTTATTGTAACCCTACTTATAACTACCCATGAACCTCCAAGTACTTATCCTATGAATCCTAATCCGAAGCATCACCTCAATGATTTTTGCCAGTTCTGCAAAAATCATTCCAAGTTTCGTAGCACCCAGCCAGTACTGCCAAGGCCTGGAAACTCAGAAGTTGGGTCCCCGGCACGCTTTGGCACGACAGTGTCACGATGGACGGGTGGGAAGACGACCTCGGCAATTGGACAGCTAGGTGAGCATCGGACCGTTCAGCGAGCACATGCACATGAAGAGTTTTCCAGTTCTGCCGACTGGTTCATCCCTCCCGACTGCACCCGGCACCCGAAGTTGCCATGTGTCAAGGCAGACTAGCCGGCTGCTTGGGAAGCTTGCATGAGTGAAAGATATGTTGCATTGCAGACGCTTGCGGAAGACAGTATTGAAGCATTCATTGGAATAGTTGCACTTGCAATCTTCCCACCCCTGATGCTGCGCGCGTCGTCACAGCTGCAAAACAGACGTCCTCGGCTCTATAACTAATCATCGGAATCGGAACTGCTTGAAGAGGACGAGGCTAAGGACAGTTCATCTTCCTCTGGAAATGCATCCTGCACCTCTTGCCGAGCATCTCGCTTAATGATTGACTGCACCCCGCAGACCCCGCGAGAAGGTGTTGCGGAAAGCTTGGTGAAACTGAGGCAGCCAGACATGCTGGGGGGCACGGGCTCGGGCATGTCGGGCACCACGGCCCAGAGATTGATTGAGACACTCTGCAGCTTGCTCTGCGTGTCAATGCCAAGACGATTCCGGATCGGACAGCGATCCCTGTTGGCAAGCGCCCAGTAGCGTTCGCATTGCCCTTGCGAAGTTGCGCACGACCAGAACTTCTCAGCCATGACAGCCAAAGGCTTTGAAGGTTCTCCACTTTTCCACCACGTGATTACCTGCGCGGGTTGGGCAAGCGAGAGCCAAAATGATTTTAATCAGCCCTTAGAAAATCATTTTCGCTCCCCCAACCCCAGCACCTCTGCCAGCGGTGCATCCGAGTGTGGGAACTCCGCGTCCCTGAACAAGCCTTTCTTCGCGCGGTAGTCGTCCAAGTCGGACACACATGCCTCCTGAACCTCGGTCGAGTCGAAAAACTTCGTGGGTAGAAGCCTTCGTGCCATCACAAAAGCTGCATGCATGTGATCCGGCTCTTCAAGACCAGAAAGAGGGCGTGGGTCAAACACGGCGCTCGCAAGCACTATGTCTGTGACAAATTGCTCTCGCCTTCGCCCATAAACATCTAGAACCGCCTTCTTCCGGAGAGCGACCGTTCCACTGTTCTCGCCGGTGTCTCTGAAGTCGCACGTCTCCAGGGCCTCGTTGAGGCGAGTCTTCAAAAGGGTCCAAACGCCAAGCGCCTCAGGTAGTCTGCCGCAAGCGAAGAGCTTGGAGGCGGAGGTCACCGCCCACAAGACTGGCACGGCACGTCGGACGCGGGCTTCAAGACCGCGGCGTTCAAGCGCCAACAAAGCCCTCTGCAGCTTGTTGCGCTGCTTGACCGAGTGTCCAAGCTTCTCAGGGCCGCCCTCCTTGCGAAGTAGCTCGGCAACTTTTGCCCGGTGTTGTACCCATCTGACGGCCATCGTGGACCACGAGTTGTGGCGAGTTTTTCGCCGGTGTTGGAGAACCAATCCAGAAGCCTGGCGAGGAATGCTGGAATCAAGTGGCTGGGAGAACTGCGTCCCGACGGCATGAAGCAAAACCGAATATGTTTTGAAAGGTTCATCCACTGTACTTACTATACCGGCCGAAGCCATACATCGGAATAAAGACGGTCTTATAAAGAAGGTCTTTGCCGGCCTTGAGTTTCCCGAAAAACTTCTTGGAGCGGCGCACCGTGCGGATTGCAGCATTGACCTCCTTGGTGGCCTTTTCCAACCATGGCATCGCAGCTCGCACGTCTTTGAGTAATAGCTGCATGCCGTGCTCCATGCAGCGTAGAGGGACCGCAAAGTCTGCACGCTCGGCAGCCAGGATGGCAAGTGCGGCCTGCAAGTCCAGGCATGTAAGAGCGACCAAAATGATTTTCGACACCCGTGCAAAAATCATTCTGACATTCAGAGCTTGTTTCGTTTGCAAATGAATTTTGCCACCTCTGGAAAAATCACACAGCCCTCGATGCGCTTCAACTGGGATAAATCCTGCCAAGGCTTTCAACACCGGAATTGGCCTGAATGTTGGCCGCATTGTCCGCGCAGATTCCGAACACGCTTTTGTGGCGTGTCCATGGCCGAAGCACTTCAGCCAATCCAATCGCCGTACTCTCGCGATCAATCATCGAAATGTGGTCCAAATGGAAGCACCTTCCAAGCTGGACAGGCTCTTGGGCTCAGGTTTGAGGGTTCGGGCATTCACATTATCTCTAAATCTTTGCACCCAGGCACATGCCGCTGGAATCCATGATGCCGACGTTCAAAAAGCCGGGGCCAGCAATCGTCGCGCCATCGGTGCAAAGACAAAAAGGACCCTTCAGTAGAAGCTTCTTCTGAAATTCCTCCATCTCCGCCGCTGTGGAATCCAAAACATCTCGAACTTTAAACCGGGTTGGGCATTTGTAGTTAGGCGCCAGGTTCTTGAAAAACAGCTTTGTCATGTCGTTTTCCACGGACATAAAGGACTGGTGACTGTGAAAGATGCTCAAAGCGTGTAGTCTCTCAAGACCTTCTTGATCCAGCACAGGCCGAGGCTGCGCATCACCGGGAAGCATTGCTCGCGACTCCGGAGTTTTGAGAAGCTCCCACCAAAGCTGAGCCGCCGGATTCTTCTGCGCGTTCAAGACCTTCAACTCTTGCTGAGTCACATGGCTCGGGTTGCTGCAGGCATTGGTCCTGCTGCCACCATCCTTGTATTTTGCCAGAGCCTTTGCTCTCTTCTCATCATAGTCAAGCTCGCGAGACTCCAAATACTTGTGGACATCTGAGGCATTGGGGTTCGCAAAATGCACGGCATGCTCGACTCCCCTGCACACCCCGGTTGCTGTTGAAGACCAAGAACACCGCCTACAGACAAGCCGTATCTTCTGAAACTTGCGGCTACGGATGCGCACAAAGCGAGACTCCAGAATGGCAACCGCAGTTGCAGTCACCCCGCGAAGATTCATGGGCAGCACGAGGTCTGCAGAGTCAACCTCATGTCCAATGTTGCGAAGCTCTGCCAAGATGTCATCTGGAATCTTGGTTTCCGCTTCAGCTTGCTCTCCGTCTCCCGTTGCGAGAGACTTTCTCTTTTTCGGCGCCATCGCTCATACTCTGAGCCAAATGCTCTGCCAACGACAAAGATGTTGAGATCGACAATGCGTCACTTCCACTCTGCGACATGTCCCCAGCATCAATCGAAGCAAAGCCTTGCGAAGTTTCTCTCTGCCAGAGACTGAGGGCCGGACCTTCGCGAAAAGATGTAGTAGTCCAGCTCCGCTCCAGACTCCAGCCGTGGCTAGATGATTTTATGGGGTTCGCCAAAAATCATTGAGATTTGAGGGAAATTACAATGTGGGCAACTTCTACTTTATACCCTCTATACTCTATAACATACCCATCCAAATCGCGCGATTTGGCCGAATCCAAAACGCAGCGATTTGAAAACGCAGCGATTTAAACATCTAAGATTCGGTTTTAATAAGGGGACCCTAAACTAAAAAGGGCAAAAAGGCACTACTCCGGAACCTAGAATATGAAATACAACACATCAACTCAACGCCATTTTCAACTCGACGCGGCGCATACCCACACAGTAGCATCCCGGCACGGCCACCGTCAGCCCCAACACAAATCTAACGGTCAGGGACTTAGTATATCAGTGACTGCCAAATATAAAGGGTGTTAATCAGCACGACCTTGGGCTTAGGGACGCAGCTTGCAAGCTTTCGACAGAGGCCCCCTGATCCTCAAAACACCACACATTACCAGGAAAAGAGGCATGATGATTGAGGATACGGTCTTCAATAAGGATTCAAAACACTTACCCTTGCACCGGAAACCAACAAGTTTCATCGGTTTGCGAGTGATTTTAACACGGGCCCGAAACTTGACAACGCCTAATCCTGAACACCAGCAACCCGGATAAACCAGTCACCCCTATCCGAACTCCCTAAGCCCCGGTTGAAACTATCGCAGGTTAAGCGCGGTTCTGCGGACCCGAAATAATCGTCAAGCATGTACTTACTCCATGATGTCACACCGATAGCAGAGCCCCAGTTTCAAGAAATTTCGTAGCAACACCCCTTTGACATGCTGGAGAGGTTCTTATAAAACTAGACACACACACCAATAGGAGCTACAGTCATGTTCTCAACATGGGGTTGCTTAATTTTGATAAATATGGGCTTTTGGGTTTAGGGTTGTGCTCGCACAGTATAGTCATAAGTATGATTCATAAGGACAACAACACAGTAAAGCCATCCACGGGACACCATGCTTCTCGCAGATCGCTTTGACTTGCCTTGGTGTCAGGTGGAATGCTCAGGGAAAGGTGTAGACTGACTTTACGGCTAGCGTTTCCAACCCTGCGGTTGAAGCTTTGAGGTTGGGCTTGCTTGCAGCAAAAGCTGTGGAGAAATGTAAGACTGTCAAACAGTGGCACCCTTTCACCGGATATCCAACCAATTCGGGGACATGCTGGACCAGAAACGATCATGCTCAGTAGTATAACAGTATAACTCCTGGGCCGTGCTGGTTCAACCCATAGCAAAGTAAGCCCGAATTGCTATGCCAATCATTTCGTCCGTGATGTCCGTTCAGCATCAGCAGCCCGACCGGCCCGACTTATACATGACATTTGCTCGTCGTAGCGGTTTAAGTTTTAGGGTTTACGTCTCTGCAAGTGTCAAGTCCTCCTGCTGACTGGAAGACACTGGCGATGCTTCCCCAGTGAGTGACATAGAAGCCTGAGTCATTACCAACGTTCCTTATGATGGTTTACTATCATGAACGCCAAAAACCCTCTTCTGATCATTGAGGTCCTTGTCTTCAGTAACCAACCCTAAACCCGACGAGATACGGTTCAGGATAGATACCGGGGCGTCAGAGACCTTTCGGTGTTCCTTCTCATGACTTCTTTACATAGATCTTCAAAAAGATTGGGGCAATTATACCATACTTATAATAAGGGCCCCCCCTCAAAAACAAATAGTACAGGTACTGATTTAACCCTAAACCCTAAAGCCTAATTTATTTAGACCACCTACATTAAGGGTTCAGGGCTTAAGCTTTGTGTTTTTGTCGTGCGTCCGAAGACGTGCCCGACGGTTTCTGTGAACTTTGGCGAGGCCACGGACTTTTTGGGATTCCATTAAGGGGTTTAGGGTTTTAGGGTTTAGGGTTTAGGGGATCTAAAAGGGTATAGGGGTTCGACTTTGAAATAAGTTACCATAATAGAATCTATAAGGGTTCCCAGGACTTCCAAAATCCCTTAATTAAGGAACGAACATACCTTAAAGTATAGTAGGATCCGTCAGATGATTTAAGGTATACTCCTTAACTACGAGATTTTGGAAGGTCTGGGTAGGGCCGGAAAAGGTTCAGGCTAACGTCAAGTCTACTAAACATGCATCTGTTGAAACCGAAAACCCTACGTAGGGCGTATTACAAAGCTTCTCAGATTTCGTAGGCTAATGATCGAGAGTTTGGGCTCAGCGGCGATAAGGCTTGCGACTTAAAACTTTCCCCAGGGCTCAAGAGAGACCAAAAGCCTTTTTACGATCTGGTCCCTGGGCCCAAAAGCCTCATAATATGAGCCGTTAAAGCCTTACCTGTAATTAGCCGGAGAGACCTACCCTTTTAGGATTCCTTATTATGGTTTCTATATCTCGTTCCTTAAAAAGGTAGGTCTTTTCGGCTGCAGGTAGGCTTAGGTTCCGCGTGTGCCGCCATGCGACGGCTGCGCCTTCTGGTAGGACAGCATCGAGAGGTCGGGCCTTGAGGTGACATAACTCCGAGGGTCGGGGAAGACGTAGGAAGTAAAACCTTTAAGCATAGACCCTTCTAAAATACCGACATAGTTTTGAAGCATTAAAAACATGTGGTTGGAGGGTCGGTGGACGTAGTAAGTAGTTGTTTATTAAACGATTTACGCAGTATAGCACCGAAGCTCGACTTGCCTTACTAAGTCCTGCGACCCTCGAAGCAGGGTCCGTATGAGGCCGTACTACTTGAAATATGTTTTGACGAAATACTTTAGTATAGCCAGTATAGCTGTATACCTGCAACATACGAGAATACTATGTTACCAACTGTTCAACCACCCTTGAAGACATGGGATGTCTTGGAGACTCCGTACAATGGATATGGCGGATCAAACATTACTTAGAAGATCATGGGACTTAGTAATTGGGGCTATACATAGGGTAACTATTGCTATAAGTACGTATAACTCCAATTGGGGTACTTATAACCCTAGTTACTAAGTCCCATGATCCTCCAAGAAGCAAATCTCGACGGAAACAGAAAAAGCTCGGAGGCATGGTATTGCGAAAGTAGGACATGGATTCTCTCAAAAGGGCGCTCTAGTTGGCAGAAATCAAAGGGGAAAAGGAGGGACCCTTAATAAGGACCCCTAGGTACCCTTAATCTAGCTATTATATACCCATTATATAGCCCATTATAGGGTAGGGGTCCCTATTAAGGGTCCCTCCTTTTCCCTTCGAAGTAATGAACGCTCCAACTGTGATCCTATATCCCTTAGTCTTCGATGGAGGGGATATTAAGGTTTCGGGGTCGCGTGGGAGAAACCTTCAACCGACAGAGCTCCAGCTGCAAACCCACAGTGATTGATATGGGTTGTCAAAATGATGGTCCCATTTTGGGTACCCTAAATATTAGGTGCCGTACCATAATAGGGACCCCCCAAAAGGGAGCCTAATATTGACAACCACCCATATGAGGTTCAGGGTTTAGGGGCTCGACTCGGGGGTTGGGTGGAAGTCATGGTACAGTTTCGTAAGCCACTACAAAGGACAACCACCACGATTTACTCCGACTCCCATATGACCCCATACCGAGCACCGGAGGCAAACTTCAACAGCCTGTTGGCGCTGGAACACAAGACCAACCTGCACCTTGGAGTAGAGCTTCATGTAAGCCCTGATTAATAACACCCTTGCCTTACCCCGGGCTGTAATTAATCCGGAATCACAACGCTAAGGCCGTAGAGACACGAAGTCCATGAATGAGGGTCAAGCCGAGTCAAGCCCAAAATATCATATGTGTGGATTCTTGTGCAGGCCCGCGTAGTTAAACTCGAACACGTTGCTGGCGTGCTCCTTGTGTAGCTGCTTGGAGGCCTCCATGCTCCGTCTCTGTCAAGAGGCCAAACTGCATGATGCTGCGGTAACCCCCGGTGACTCTGTGTCCGTGACGTTGGCTCTTACGAACGAAGCTGCAGCCTCCCCCAGACGGATCCCTAATCCCTAAATAGGGTTTAGGGTTTTAGGGTTTAGGGTATAGGGTTTAGGATTTAGGCCGTCACGCAGATGGTCCTGAAATCAGGCTTCGCACCCTTGGCAGTATCCACGACACGCCTCCCTCCACTCTAGAAGTAGGAGTTTGGGACTTTCACGCTCAGGTGCTTAGGGTATACGAGTGTTGAATTTTCTGGGACTTGGAGTGTATTTTCATCTGTAATTCATGGTCTTTAGAGTTAGAGTGGGTCTAGCAAGGGTGATACCATCAGTAAAGAATCCGACTCCTGTGGTCAAGGAATGTCTACCAATTGCTGCTGACCTAGGGTCGCATGAGGCTGAAAAATTGGAGGATCTTTGTCGAGCTGTGCAAGAAAGCTGCAGGATTTGATTGAAGCTTCACAACGTTGTTACAAAGGGGGTTGCAAAGCTAGGGCTGACTTTGGGTCCTAGGCATCCATGGAAATATCCTGCAAACTCGGACCCAGGGCCAGGCCCGAAACGAAAACCAGGGTTTAGGGTTTCGCGGCACGGATACACGCAGCTAACAATCGTATGCCCTTGCCCCTGCACATAACACTGATTGCGTTGCTGGCATACTCAAGTTTATAGACCCAAACTATCTGATTCGCAGGACCCCAAATAACCTCCCTAAACCCTAAACCCTAGCCCTAACCTATGCTACTACAAGTTGCAGCCCTCTCAGA